TCAGTGAAGAGGAAGAAACAGTAACAGGAAACTTGGAAATGGCAGAGATGCTTAATGACTAATGCCTAACAGTGAACGCTAGCGGGAAGGGGTAGATTTAGACGATAAAATAAAAAAAAAAGAACAAGTTAAAAATCACTTAGAAAAGTTAGATGTCTGCAAGTCACCAGGGCAAGAACAACCCAGGAAACTACAGACCAGTCAGTTTAACTTCTGTGTCAGGAAAGATAATGGAGCAAGTAATTAAGGAATTCATCTGCAGACACCTGGAAGATAATAAGGTGATAGGTAACAGCCAGCATGGATTTGTAAAGAACAAATCATGTCAAACCGATCTGATAGCTTTTATTGATACGATAATGAGTCTTGCGGATAAGGGAGAAGCGGTGAACATGGCATACCTAGACTTTAGTAAGGCATTTGATACAATCTCACATGATATTATCAAACTAGGCAAATACAACTTTTTGTAAATGGGGCTACTATAAGGCGGGTGCATAACTGGCTAGATAACCGTTCTCAGAGTAGTTATTAAAGGTTCACAATCCTGCTGCAAAGGCATAACAAATGGGGTTCCGCGGGGGTCTGTTTTGAGACCGGTTCTGTTCAATATCTTCATCAACGATTTAGGTATCGGCATAGAGAGTACACTTATTAAGTTTGCAGATGATATGAAGCTGGGAGGGGTTGCAACTGCTTTGAAGGATAGGGTCATCATTCAAAGTGATCAGGAGAAACAGTCTGAAGTACATAGGATGAAGTTTAATAAGGACAAATGCAAAGTATTCCACTTGGGAAGGAACAAATCAGTCTCACACATACAGAATGGGAAGTGACTGTATAGGATCGAGTACTGCAGAGAGGGATCTAGAGATAAGGTCACACGTGGGCCCATCCCTAGTACATACCATGTCCTGAAGCCACTCAAGCACACGGCCGAACGCACACGATACACCGCATCCTGTGTCTGCCGAAGCATGCCGCGGATAGTGCACAGTTATAAACACAGAATCAACCTGCTGTGGGTTCAGAGCCAGCTTTGGATTCAAGCCAGTTTATTTTCCTTTCTAAGGGACTCTCTTCACTGAGTAACAAAGCACTTACAGACATTCCTCTCAGGCTATGGCTCCATCAAGATATCCAAGAATGACTCATCCCATCGGGCATGGCTCTTTTTAAGGGAAAACATGATAGCAGTTTTCAGGTATCTAAAAGGGGGTCACGAGGAAGAGGGAGAAAAATTGTTCTCCTTAGCCTCTGAGCAGGGGCAGCCCTTGAGTATAGGCTGTCGCCTAGGGCGCCGCCTTCAACGGGTAGCCCCATGATGACATCACACCATTAACAGCTGTGCAGGCGGGGGTGCCAATCGTGCGTGCCACAGCCTGCCTCAGGCCACCCCTGCCTCTGAGGATAGGGCCAGAAGCAAAGGGCGTAAA